GATTGATTCAGTGACTGAGATAATTGGGATGGGAGTATCAGAGACAGTGCGATTGGTACAGGACAGAGCGGAGTTTAGGGCTGTTGTACATAGGGTCGCTATGAGTCACAGGCGACTCGACGGCACATAACAACAACAACAACAGTACAAATTACAGATGAGAAAGTATAGCACATTCCAGATGAGGAAAGTGAGGATCAGAGAAGCAGCCTGCGGGGCGAGTTGACATAGGAGGTGAATGAGGACATTCATATTCACCTCACCAAGGCCTGGAGAGCCCACCGTTATACAAAAGGAAGCTGCCAGAAATTCAAGCCAGCTATAAAAGGAGGACTTGGAATAAAGGATATCATTGGTGATATCAGATGATCTTGACTGGGAGTAGAAAAACAACAGAAATATTTACTTTTGTTTTACTGATAATTTAGAGGCGTTTGACTATGTGGATCATAAAAAATTATGGAAAACACTGAAAAGATTAAGAGTTCTGGAACATTTAATTTTTCTCATACAGAACATGTATATAGACCAAAAGGCAGTCTTTAAAACAGAACAAGGAGATATTTCATGATTTAAAATCAGGAGAAGTATGTGTGTCAGAGAGAATTCTTTCCACTGTACTTATTCTATCTATATGCTAAGGAAATAATATAAGAAGGTGAATTATGTGAAGAAGAATGCAGCAACAGGATTGAAGGAAAACTCATAAACAACTTATTATATGTATAGATGCATCTGATACAATTTTGCTTGCTGCCAGTCAAGTGGACTTGAAGCATTTATTAATAAAGAACTAAAACTTTAGACCCCAGTATGTATTTTATCTCAACATAAAATTCTTCACAAGTGGACCAACGAGAAACATGATGATAAATGAGGAAAGGCTGAAGTTGTCAAAGATTTAATTATACTTAGATCCATAATTAACACCCATGGAAGTAGCAGTCAAGAATTCAATCATTGGACCAGACACATTTGCAGCCAGATTTGAAGGTGTTAAAAGCAAAGCTGTCGGCAGTTGCTGTCGTGTCTTCCGAGTAGTGTTGTCTTTCTGCGGACAGGATGGCCTCCCAGAACCGCAACCCAGCAACAGCCAGCGTTGTTGCCTCCCGAAAATGGGCAGAGCCTAGCGGGGGCGCTGCCCGGGGCTCCGTGGGCAAGAGGCTACAGCAGGAGCTGATGACCCTCATAATGTCTGGCGACAAAGGGATTTCTGCCTTTCCTGAATCCGACAACCTTTTCAAATGGATAGGGACCATCCATGGAGCCGCTGGCACAGTATATGAAGACCTGAGGTATAAGCTCTCCCTAGAGTTCCCTAGCGGCTACCCTTACAACGCGCCCACGGTGAAGTTCCTCACTCCCTGCTACCATCCCAGCGTGGACACTCAGGGTAACATCTGCCTAGACATCCTGAAGGACAAGTGGTCTGCCCTGTATGACGTCAGAACCATCCTCCTCTCCATCCAGAGCCTGCTAGGAGAACCCAACATCGACAGCCCTTTGAACACACACGCTGCTGAACTCTGGAAAAACCCCACAGCCTTTAAGAAGTACCTACAGGAAACCTACTCGAAGCAAGTCTCCAGCCAAGAGCCCTGACCCGCTCTGTCCGGCCTCTGTCCTTGTGTCGTGTCATCTTTTTTCCTTAGTTGATCTGTCCTCCTTGATTTCTGTCCAAGATTCTGTATCTGAAGCTGTGGCATCCTTTCTGTTTTATTTGTTTTTTTAAATTAAGCCTCTGTTTGAGCCTTTATGATGAATATATTAAATAAACACATTTGGGGTTAATTTTGAAAAAAAAAAAAAAAAAAGCAAAGCTGTCGCTCCGAGGACTAACTTGAGTTTGGCATAAGCCGTCCAAGGTATCTTCAAATGCTTCACTTGCTAGCAGGACAATGAATAAGAAGACTAAAGGAATGATACATTTAATTATCTTGTGGCCAAAGAATATTGAATATACCATGGACTTCCAGAAGAATGAACAAACATAACTTGGAAAAAGTCCAGTCAGATTTTTCCTTACAAGCAAAGATGGCAAGTCATCATTTCACAAAAATTGAACATGTTATCAGGAGAGTCAGTCTCCGAAGAATGCTATGCTTGGAAAAGTAGAAATTCCTCAAAAAAAGAGAAAGACCTTCAATGTAATGGATTGGCATTGACTGCAAGAACAGACTCGTATACAGAAATGATTGTGGAGGTGGCATATGACATAGATTTGTTATGACTTACTTGAAGGCATTTGACAAGGAATTATATACATTATACATATATAATTATTTGCTTAAAGACCCCTGATATACAGATCTGTGATGCTTAGTCCATGACTCAAGTGCACTGTTAGTTGTGTCATTCGTGACTAGGTTTCATTCATTCAGTTAGCTAATTTCAGTAGCTTGAGAATTCTCACAAATACACCATATGAAATATGAACCAGAAATACGAATGACTATATGTAGCTAACCTATGTTTGCCATTTTCCTGTTTTCTTTTCTAAAGTCGAGGAAATACAACGGTTAAGCACTTAACTACTAGCCAAAGGCTGATGATTCCAACCCACCTAGCAGCTCTGTTGAAGGGAGACCTAGTTCTCTATTTCTGTAAAGATTATAGCCAATAAAGCTGTATAATGTAGTACTTCTCTATAACCAGGGGTCACTATAAGTCAGACATGATGTTGTCACTCAACAATACTGTATTTGTATTTATTCCTAAAAGTCAGAGTCCATGGCACCAGGGACATTATTGCTGATGTCAGATGGATCTTGGCTGAAAGCAAAGAATACCAGAAGAATGTCTTTTAGTGCTTTATTAAGTTTGCAAAGGCATTTGACTGTGTAGATCATATGGCTAATTCTGAGAAGAATGGGGATTTCAGAACACTTAATAATGCTTGTATAAAATCTAGACCCAGACCAAGAACACAGTAAGGGAAGACTGCATGGTTTAAAATCAGGACAAGTGTGAGTTAGGGCGGTTTCCTCTCTCCATACTATTCAATCTGTATGCTGAGCAAATCACTTGAGAAGCTGGACTTCATGAACCAGAGTTCATGAGTGTGGGATCAGGATTGGAGAAAGGCTCATCAATAACTTGTGTAATGTAGATGACAGAACCTTGCTTACTGAAAGTAAGGAGGACCTGAAGTGCTTGCTGCAGAACATCAAGGACTGCAGCCTTCATTATGAATTACATCTCAAAATCAAGAAAACAAAAATCCTCATGATAGATGGAGAAAAGATTCAAATTGCTAACTGTTTCATCTTGCTTGGATCCACAGTCAGCATCCTTGGTACCAGCAATGAGGAGATCAGGAAACATATAGCAATCAAAAAGTCTGCTCTCAGGAACCTCTCCAATGTCCTGAGGAGTAATGATGTCTGTTTAAAGTCTAAGGTATTAAAAAAAAAATCCAAGGTATATCTGATTCAAGCCACAGTCTTTCTGTTACACAACTAAGACCCAGCCAATGAATAAGGATGACAGGAGAAGAACTGATACGTTTGAGCTGAGGTGTTGGAGAAGAGTGTTGAATGGCCAATGGACTGCCAAAAGAACAAACAGAAATGTCTTAGGGGAAAAGTGCAACCAATCTTTTCTTTTACTTTTCCATAATTTTTGGACTCATGTACTTATAACTTGTTAGTCAAATTTGTGTCTTCTAGGTTGCAACACCCCCATGATACATCTTCAAGGATATGAACATGTACGGCCAAGCACAATCAATAAGAGTGCATCTAAATTCCAAAATCAATCTCCATAATAGTCTATGTGTTTCCTACTGCCAAAGGGGCTCTTTAGAGTAGTGAGAGAAGATCTTCACCCTGAAACCCACAGCGTCCCTTTTCAGCAGGAAGTAGCTAAGAGAATACGCCATCCCCTTTTCCTTATGACTCAGGGTGAAGTCTCTCTCAGGGAGGAGTGATAGGGAGGGAATGACAAAGGACACACAGACAAAGAAGATTAATCAGAACTGGCTTTGACAAGCACTGTGGCATTTGGACAAGAACAAACAGGGAGGAGGGTAGAGAGAATAGTGCAACAATGAATGAATGGAAACCCCAAATCTCTGTAAATGTTTATGAAAATTAATAAAATATAATTATAGAAAAAAAATAAATAAATTTATCCAACAGGAAAAAATAGGAAAAAAAAGATGGTAACATTTTTGTCTCATATTTTGGATAGGTGGTTAGGAGAGACTATTCCTTGGAAAGGGACGTCGTGCTTGGAAAGGAAGAGGATAATCCATGAAAATCCTTAACAAGGATTGATAGAATGTCTGTGGCAAGGGACACAAATGTGTTAAGGATGGCAAGCATAGTACAGGATAGGTCAGAGTTTAGTTCCCAGGGTCGCTGTGAGTCATACTTGACTCAATGACACTTAACAACAACAAAAAGAAATATGTTTGTATGTAGGAGCATGTGCATGAGCTTAAAAATATTTTGAAGGGATATATGATTAGGTATTATTATCATGATAGGAGTCCGGAATGAACGCTGCATAGTAGAGTGGACTTGGGCAGAGGGATTGTATAAAAGTGAAAATATTTTTCCTTTACTTTTCAAAGAGAAGAGCAAACTGAGGGGGAGGTTGGGTAGAGAGAAAAATGCAACAATGAATGAATGGAAATCCAAAGTCTCTGTAAACTTTCATTAAAATTAATTTTAAAAAATACAATTTTTTTAAAAAAGTTGGGAAATCTATTTTGGAGGAGGAGGAGTATCAGGCCCTAGGCACTCTTGGACTGGCCCTCAGCTTTGACACGTGTCTAAGCCTCCAGAGCTCACCTCTTTGGTGCCATTGTCTTGGATGAGGGTGTACAATGGTATTACACGGTTGATCTCCAGCAGCACTGGTGTAGGGCTCAGCTGCTCCTTGCCCGGCCGGCGACAGAGATGACAGGTGGATGGACAGCGACCCTTCTCCTCACAGCGGATCTCCACCCCTGAGATGAGCTGGTCATCCGAGAGCATCTGGGCTGTCAGCAGACCAGAGAGGTAGGTGATGAAGGGCATGGACTTCAGCTCCTTCTTGCTGCCCAGCTCTGTGGTTTCTGGAGAGGTAAGAAATAGGAAGCAAAAAATGATAAATTCAAGGTCAAGATGTGTTCAAGAACTGGTATCCTAGTTGGACTGAAGAAAATGTGATAAAGTCATTCATTCTTCATGCCTGAGAAACAGTACTGGCCTAAAGGTTCATAGACCAAAACAGTGCTTATTTCTACCATTCACCTTAAATATGCCCTTGCCTTTTCTAGGGTTCACTTTCATCGTATTCAAAGTGGATAAGTTGAACTAGAAGATTCTCTTAGGGTTTTGATAGATAAATATTTAAGGATGGATGTTTGCCCCTCATAACTAGAAATTTTTTCTTTCCTCCTTTCAACTTACCAAAGTCTTATGTTGTCTTAGAAACCTTACTCCTGGCCTGTATTTTCCACGGGGTTCCACATATATAACAGGGGAAACAAAGTATGGAGTCAAATAATTTGCTCTTTAAATGTCAGTTCTGCTTCCTAATAGCTTTGATAGTCTCTTAATAACAAGTAGCCTCTGATGACTAGTTATGTAAAACAGGATTACTAACATTAACCAAATTGGTTTGCCATAATGGTAAATGAGCTAGAAGGAGGTGGAACTGTATAGAAAAGAGCTGTTGTTGGTGTTGTGTACCATCGAGTCAAGAACCAAACCGTAGCTGACCTTCCAGAAGGTTTTCAGAGGCAGTTAATCACACAGGAGGAGTTTTCCCCATCCTTCTCCTGTGAAGCAGCTGGTAGAATACAAATCGCAAGCCTTCAGGATTGCAGAATATCTTCTGACCACTAGGCTATCAGAGCTCAACAGAGAAGAGTAGATGGAAAATAAATTCTTTCCCCTCTCTTTCCCTGCTTGCCTTTAATCTTGTTCAGACTTGGATTCCTACCTTACTTCTCTCCTGAAAGCTGATGTATTCCCCAGTCTGTGCTTTCCTTTGTTCATTAATAAAACCAATATTTCCCACTTCTAAGTCTGTGTTCATTATGGATGGTGAAGAGATTGAGATTTTTAACAGTTTTAGTTTGCTTGGCTCCACAATCAACACTCTTCGTATGAGCAGCCAGGAAATGAAGAGAAAAATTGCACTGGGCAAGTCAGCTGTTAGGGACCTCTCCAGAGTATTAAAGAGCAACAATGTCAGGCTGGAGACTAAGGTGTGCCTGATCTGGGCCATAGTCTTTGCAACTGTGTGCTATGTGTCAGAGAACTGGACAGTGACTAAAGATAAGAGAAAGAATTGATGCCTTTGAGTTGTGGTGCTAGAGAAGAGTGTTGAATATTGAATAAAACCATTGACTGCTAAACATGAAAAACAAACAGGTTCATCCTGGAGAGGGTGAATCAGGCTACTCCTTGGAGGCAAGGATTCTGAAGCTTTGTCTCACATTCTTTGGGCATGTTGCAAGGAGGGACCAGTCCTTGGAGAGGGACATCATGTTTGGGAGAGTGGAGCACAAGAGAGGAAGACCCTCGATGAGATGGATCGATTCAGTGATTGGGGTAATGGGAGTAGGAGTGTCAGAGACAGTGAGATTGGCACAGGATAGAGTAGGGTTTAGGGCTCTTGGGCATAGGGTCACTATGAGTTGCAAGCAACTCGACGGCACATAACAATAACAACAACAACAATAACAATAACGTCCGTTTCAATCCTTCTCCACTAGCCTAGAATATCCTTCTTTCTCTCATCCCCAGCTTCTCCACACTTCTACCCATAAAAACTTCACATTCTGATGTCATTCTCTTCAGAAGGTCTTCCCTCATTGCTCCATTGCCTCTTCCTGGGGTATATATTTCTGCTTGTGAGTCTTCATCTTGCTAAGCTCATGATCCATAGCCATTAGGTGCTGATCTCTGCAACTATATTATCAGCTCCTGAGGACTAAAGACTATGATAGAGATACACTTAAGACTCAACTAAAGAGGAACATTATAGAACTTTTAATGACTTGGGATGCGTTCATTATCTATTCTAGAGGCTTCCAAACTCTTCTGAGGAACTCTGAGGATCCCCAGCAGCATCTCTTCTGGTTCAGTAAGGTAAGAGGAAATTTGAGCAGGTAGAATTCTAAGTTCTCATCTTGGCTTCAAAGAAAATAGGTCCACTTCTGCCTATTTTATTGACTATTCTTCTATACGTTATTTCATCAGAAGACAAGATCTATGGCTTTGTCAAAAAGTTTGAAGCAGCACAAACTATGCATGTCAATAGTGTCCTCAAGTTTGGGCAGTGCACGATCTGAATGGCAAAGCAGGATAGCCTTGCACCAAGGGGCAGAGCTTGGTCCAGATGACAACTTCTTTGAAGCCTGGTGAAGTAAAGCTAAGCTCCTGCCTCAATGGAGACAGGAGCCTGGGCACCCGAGGCCTGGGAGAGAACGCAAGGTTGTCTCTTGCTCTTGCTGTCGGCTTGCAGTGACATGCAGCTGATCTGGAAATGGGCTTGCCAATTAGAAATACAAATAAACGCAGCCTTCATTCATTACTCTCCTGGCCCTGGGGCCTGGGATCTGGGCTCCACCTTTTCTGTCTGGCTGTCAACAAATGCTTATGAGCATGAGATCAAAGGCTCTGGAGGAGGAAGACAAGGCGGATTCCAGTTAACCAATCCTTCAGAGGGATTAAAGAGGAGTAGTTGCTAAGATAAACAAAACAAGGCTGTGAAGAAGGCATCTCAGCAGCTGGGTAGACAGCCCGTAGACACAGACATGTCAAAAGAAGATGATGACAAACTTTGGAACTGCCGGCCAGAGGGATAGTTTTAGAGAAGGGTGACTTCAAATCTAGGAATACAATAGCCACATAGAGTAGAAGGTCAGCAGGCAGTTCGAACTGAGAGGACATTACAGATCACACTCGAGCTCAGGGGTCAGCGAACTATGACCCACTGGCCAAATCCAGCCACTGTTGTTTTTGTAAAGGTGACTGTAGTGGGATTCAGTCACATCCTTTCACTTATGTATTGCCTATGTCTACAGTGGCCAAGTCGAGGAGTTGCAACAAGGATAGATGGCCCACAAAGCCCAAGCTGGTTATTATCTGGTCCTTTAAAAAAAAAAAAAAGAAAAATCTGTCAACCTCTATTGTAACTCCATAGTTAGATAGGACCCCCTAGAGGTGGGTCTTTACAAGGAGTAAGGCAGTGCGGCAGATTCGATAAAGTAAAATCTTTAAAATAAAACACATCATTGATATCCTTGGATTGTGAATCTCTTGATAGTAAAAATAGCATAAGACACTCTTCCCTCCATAGAACAATTTTCATAAACTGTTTGAAGAACACACTTTCGAAAATGCTGTTCTTTACAACTCTCTCAATTTAAGTAAGGAGAAATTGTGTTGCAAAGACTTTCTAAGGTCCCCTCAAATGCCAGCAGCCTTATCATCACATGACTTCAATCTTCAGACAATAAATTTATCACTTAAACTATTGTCATTTCTATTTTAAAACACAGATGGTGTGCACCTTGCCACATGCACATAATTTAATGGAAAAGGAATATAACCTGTGCTGGGAGTAAAAATTCCCTTGGTCAAATAGGCAAAACCACATACCATCAATAGTCTTTGGGTTTAGGATGTTAACTACCCATTTAACAACAGAATGATCAGCAGATTTTTACTGGCCTGCTGTTGTCCAAACAATCTTTTGCTTTCCCCCTATCAATTTATCCAAATAAGAATGGGTGGAGGTGGGATAAAGAGAGAAGTTTCACTAGATAAGAGCTCATAGCCCAAGTTGCAAAGTGCCCTCATCCGCACTAGAGTACTCAGAGTCCAGTTTAGGCTCTGGTTTTGTAATACAAAGCACCTCAGGATTAGCTGGCCCAAGCCTACTTCTTACCCAGCAAAGACACTAAAATGTAACAGGGAAAGGGACTTAGCTCTAAATCGAATAGACATTTACTAACAATGATGCTTAAAAGACTGTGTCCTGCCTAAGTCATAATCTGGTAGAGAGTTACAACAGGGAAAGCCATTAGCCATTTCATTAATTATCCCTGTGTAGACACTACAATTGCGAAAGTTAATTGCTTCTGAGTCAACTCCACCCTGTGGCTAGACTCATCTTTTTAAAGGGCAAATCCCATGTTGCTATTCTGCTGAAAAGTCTGCAATGACATTTGACTTTTCTTAGGATAAAGACGAAAAACCCTTAGGAAGACACATGGGCCCTGTGCCCTCTCCAGCTTGATCCTTCCCTTCCTCCTCCCTTTCCTTCATCCTTACCTTCCTCCCTCAGCATTCTTCCTTTCAGTTTCATTGGCCTTTGTGCACTTGAATGCACCCTCTTTCTTTCCCCCACAAGTCTTGGCATATGCTCTTCCCTCTACACAGAATCTTCCCTTCATTCCACCCCCATCCCCTGCCTTCTGCTGGCTAATATCCACTCATCCTTCAGATCTTAGTTCAAATGCCAATTTCTCAGCATAGTTTTCCCTAAACAACAACCTTGTTCCACCACCACTCTCCATTGGGACTTCTTAGTAGAGAACTTGATCGTATTCTGTTCTCTGTATCACCTGTTAATGTTGCATGACTGTGATCTCCATGAAGCCTGGGGTCGTGGCAGTTTTGCTGATACCAAACCTGGGACATTATAAGCTTTCAATAATCTTTTCAGAGCGGAATATATACGCATATACCTTGGTCACTCAGCTGCAAAATCATCGGTGACTCTAAAGACTGGTAAATTTCAAAGCTTGAACTAACTAATAATGAAGACACTTCTTGAATGAAAATGAACTCTCCCAGTTGAAAGCCCAGCAGATGAGTAGCTGGGTGCTAATGTCACTGCCTCTAAGTTTTCACATGGGCTCTTGCCATTGCAGGTACGGAAGAGTCAGCTTAAAGCAAGCCGCCTTAAACAGGCCAAGGATAAAGGAGAGTTTTGTAGAGACTTTGCCTCTGTTCACATTTCCCATCTCTCTGAACGATGCTTCCAAAATAGGATCATGTCTGGTTTCAAGCCCAATTCAGTCTCAATGACACTACAACCCATTCATTTGAGAAC